GTATTACGTACTATCAATGTTGAACAAAACTATAGACGATTCATTTGGTATTACGTACTATCAATGTTGAACAAAACTATAGACGATTCATTTGGTATTACGTACTATCAATGTTGAATAACGTACTTTCATAGTGTTAACTAATTTTGGTTTACGATAACTATAGACGGATACCAAAATACGTGGATGTAGCTGTTTTTTTTAAATATTTTCTACTATTTCTTTCGGTCCCAGTTATTAATGCATGTTTAAAGATATGAGAGGGTTGTCGTAATTGTTCTTTTTATTCCGTGTTTAGTTTTTCAATACAAAATTTTAAACAGTCTTCACAGTGTTTTTTAAGAGATATCGTATTTGTAACTTTTGGTTGTTTGTTGTATAAAATGTAAAATAACTTGTGTACAGGATTCATGACGAATTTCGCATGATTGAAGGTTTATTTTTTATCAAGTTCTGTATGACTTAATAGGTACATGGGACATAAAGTAAGCAATAGTAGACAGGATGATCCAGTTCACCAGATATAGATGGTTTTTGTTTTGGAATGTTTCAGAGTTTCTATTCACCGTTGACTTAAAACTGTGTTTTCATATTTCATGTTTCATTTACATAACTTTTTTCGCTCTTACAAACTCTTTTAGCGTTGTGTCGAAAAGTTTTAATAGCAGTAATTGTCTATGATTCTGCGTGTACTAAATTCCACTACAGTGCAAGTTCATAATTGACTGGTTTCCATAACGTTAAAACAGTTTGTGACTGAACAACTACGATCCCCCACTTACATCTTTAAACATGCGTAAACAACAGAACATAAAGTTAGCGTCTTCGGCGCTAAATGTATTTCCAAAAAAACAGATAAAACATTAAGGAAAATTGAATAAGAAGCGTTAGATATAAAGTAGCGTATTAACAATCATCCGTCCAAAGTTTTTGAAAATCACGCGATCAAAACACTACTTAAGTCCTGGTTAAACATCGATTTTTTCTGTGTTTCATTTTAGTCCTTTACAACGTTTTCAATGGCATTTTGAAATTTCTTCATAAGTTAAACATCTATTATTTTTGAGTCTATGGCTAGTTAGGTTGTTGATTACACCAGAGGAGGATAGTTTAAATATGGAATATCGTGTTTTGCTAAATAATTTAAAAGATGAAGTTGAAATATACATAAAAATATTAATTTGAGAAATGTTACAAACCTTAAGATTTAAATTATAAACTTTCAGAAAAAAATGTTTTACATTTGTTCATACTTAAGCGCAAACATTAATAATATTACATGAAACTTTATGCTACAAATATTACTTAATCCCATGAAAAGTGTTAGGCACTTGTTAATACTATCTGTACCGAAGTAGATCAGATCGACTAATAAAGTAACATCTATCTACTCTAATAGTTTTAGATTTATTTAAGAATAGTGTGAATAATCTGATGTCAAAAAACTGTTTGGATCAAGAAATATTTTAAACATGCATAAATCTACCAAATAAAAGTAAGTTTACGAAACCAAAAATAAAGAGCAATTACATGGTTTTAAGATATGAATATACAACAAACGGTTGTTCTGCAAGGAAGCCTGTAATCTAATGTCGATATATTTCATAACATATTCTATTTTTCCTCTTTGTAACAAGCTAAAGAACAAATTATGCAGACTTTTAGGTTAAGATGCACCTTGTATTGCTAGGTACACAGTGGAATTAAAATATATATAGCAATCAACTTCAATTTCAGGTGCAATTGGAATTATGCTGGGCGTCTTCTACCGACTAAGCTGTGTTTGTTTCATTCTGCCATATTGGTACTTGTTTTTTTTGGAAAAATCTCGGTGGAACAATCATTCTTATCTTTATGGATTGCTCGGGATACTTTTTTTTGTCTGTGACGGGCATCGATACTGGTAAGTAATAACTGGTTTTAACATGTTAGAATTGTCGACGTAAACTTGTTTATGGTAATAACACAGGCCTGCGATGGTTTTATTGTCTTGAAATGTTTACATATTCTACAGTAATTCCTGTACGCTGAATTCGAAAATGATATCCATTTTCCCCCATCACGTACAGATTTTTTCACAAAACGACTTATGTACTTTTACACAAAAGAATCAGTTTCATTGAAATCGGGTCACATTTTGTTATGCTTAATATACGCTGGCTATAGGTTTCTCTAGATCAATCGTGACGTGAGAGTCTTATCGATCGTTTTAGAACCCACGAGAAATACACCGCTAGTATATAAACGGTTAACTGGCCGCATGGCGTTTCATTTCTGGTTAGTATTCGTTTGACATTATTTTTTTTCTTTTTAATATTATTTATTCGTCGCTATGGCAACAAGAGGTTGTGTAACTAACCCAAACATATTCTGTTATAGTTGTGGTAAATTTTTTGTAAAGAAACAATGGCAAAACATTAGAGAATTCGTCAAAAAGCATATTATGCGTATTTTGGAGTAAAACTTGGGGACCAAGACAAATTATGAGTTCCGCACAAAGTTTGCACCGTTTGTGTCGAAGAGTTTAGACAATAGACTAAAGGTAAGAAAACGTCTTCGCCTTTTGTAACTCCAATGGTTTGGCGTGAGCCTAGAAACGAGGAAGATGACTGCTATTTTTGCTCGTGTAACACTCGAAATAAAAAGGAAATTTCTTGTCCAAACCTTCAGTCTGCTATAAGACCTGTTGCTCATGGACCTGATGTACCTGTACCTACTCCACCGGAGACTCTTGATACACTTTCATCTGATTCTGATGTCATTAGAAATGATGATAGTGATTGCTTTCAACCTGAAATGTCTGGCGAACCACAACTTTTCAAACAAGGTGAACTTAATTATTTGGTGAGAGATTTGGGCCTTCCAAAAGATTATTCAGAGATTTTTGGGCCCAAACTTTGGGCTAAGAACTTACTTTCTCCACTTTAGTGGTACAGAAATCGCGAGGAATAGTTTATACCATACTTTTCGAAAGAAGGTTCACAGGTTTATTGCTGAATTAATACAAATGCTAGGAGCTGCAGTCTACGAAACAAGCGAGTGGCGATTGTTCTCTGATTCTTCCAAAGGAAGTATAAAATGTGTTCTCCTTCACAAAAGTAACACATATGAATCTGTTTCAATTGCTTATTCGGTTCACTTGAAGGAAACGTACAAACTTTTTCTTAATAAGGTCAAATACAAAGAACATGGTTGGTTACTTTGTGGAGACTTAAAAGTACTTTGTATATTTTTGGGTCAACACTCCAGTTATTCAAAGTTTCCAGGTTTTTGTATGAATGGGACAGCAGAGCATGAAATCAGCACTAGATATAGAAGCAATTGCCACGCAGAGTCAGCCTGATACGAGGATCGAAAAACATTGAACGTGAAAGTTGGGTTGACACAAAGAAAGTTCCATTACCCCCAATTAACATAAAACTTGGCTTGATGAAGCAGTTTGTAAAGGCCTTAGACAAAGATGGCGTCTGTTTTAAGTATCTATGTGGGAAATTCCCAGCTCTTTCAGAAGCAAAACTTAAAGAAGGGATTTTTGTTGAGCATCAGATTATGAAATTGACTTCGGATGAACAGTTCGAAAGGACAATGAGGAAAGTTGAAAAAAAAAGCGTCGATTGCCTTTAAAGATATTATTGACATATGTTTGGGAAACAATAAGGACCCAAATTACGAAAATATTGGCAGTAACATGCTCGATAGATTCAAAGAATTGGATTGCAATATGAGCTTGAAAGTTCAAGTTCTCACTCTCACATATTAACTATTTCCCTGAAAATATCGGTGCCGTCAGCGAAGAACAAGGGTGGAGGGTTTCATCAAGACATCAGGGAAATGGAGAGGAGGTATCAGGAAAGGTGGAACATCAGCATGATGGCTGATTACTGAAACGAGATGCTCCAGACGCAATACATAAAAGAAAGACTACAACACGTAGTTTTGAGACTAAAAGACGTAGATTTCACACACACACACAATCAGGATGAATTAGGATGCATATTCGTTAGACATCAATGTTCTTTCCTTTTCTTCAGTTTTTGTATATATTTTTGCTAACAAACATAATAATAATAAAAAAATGTTTATTGTAGTAAACGAAATAATAATTTGATCTAAGTAAGAGGTTTTTTTTTTCTTCCCGATTTGTAAAAAAATCCTTATGTGATAGAAAAAATTAATATTATTTTAAAAACCTGTGTAGCTGAATTATGGAAAATATGTTATTAAAACCAAAACAACTTTTATGATGTTTAAATTCGCAGGCCTGTGATATTGAAAACATTCTTTAAATACAAGACAATTTTCTTTCATTATTTTAAGTTCATTTACGTTTTTGCCTAAAAGTAGAAAATTAAACATACCATAACTAGAATGAAAGCATAGTTATTTTGTCATGTTCGTAAAGTCATTTGGTTGATGGTAAGAAAATAAACTTCATAGTTGTAGCCCATGTTAAAGACATGTCAGTTAAAAGTCCATATACAGTCCTGTCATTATATCAATAATACTTAGAAAAAAATATGGAAAAGAGTCGCACTTTCCTAAATTAAGTATGTGTATCTCGTTTTTAACATACTATTATATTCAAGTAGTAAACAAAATGCTTAACACCACAACTTAGCTGTGAAATTAAATTTGTCATTTAAATAATATTTATATTTATAACTCGTTTTTTCTCTCCCCCAGTTCCGTTGATGGGATGTTTAAAAGAAAAATCCAGAACTCGCAAGTTCCATTATGGAACTACATTTTGCTTCGAGGGCAGGTTAGAAGAACCATATGTTTTATTTACTGTTTTATCTGCTGGATTAAGTAAAGCATTTTAAAGTCACAATACAGTGTCTGTTTTCCCATACAATTGATTAATTAGGACAAGTTAAAGTCGCACTCTCAATTAATTAACTAGTTCAGATTAAAGCCGTTATATATTTCAAGTTGTTTTGTACAATAGATTAATTATGAAAGATGAAAGTCTCTATGCATAGATTAATTAGATAGTTTAAGACCAATGTTTTATCATTGTTCAATTCAACAAAAGTTGATCATACATTACAAGTTGGCCCGGCATGGACAGGTGATTAGGGCACTCGACTCGCAATCTGAGGGTCGCGGGTTCGAATCCCCGTCCCACCTGCTTGCCCTTTCAGCCATTGGGGCGTTATAAAGTTGTAGTCAATCCCACTATTCGTTGGTAAAAGAGTAGCCCAAGAGTTGGTGGTGGGTGGTGATAACTAACTGCCTACCCTCTAAATTAGGGACGGCTAGCGCAGATAGCCCTCGTGTAGCTTTGCGCGAAATTCAAAACAAAAAAACATTATAAGCTGCTTTACCAAACTGCTAAATTAGGGCAGATTAAATTTGTCATCTATAATACGCTATTTCTTTCAATAGATTAACTGGTTGATTTATTCTATAGACCTAAAGGACCGTAAGTTCTCTTTAGATGAGTCCTTCTCTTGTTACAGTCTTTGTACTATCTCTTCCAACTTCCTCCAACCCACTTCTTGATGTTATTCACGCATATCATTTTTCTCTGTACTTATCATTCACCATCCTTTCAGTTGTGGTCAGTACCAGCCTTGGACCACATCTTTGCTAGTGAACGCATATCGCCAGTTTTCTTCACCTCAGCTAACTAGTCTTTCCTTACCAGGAACGTTACCATCTCTCTCAGCCATTCGTTGGTTCTCCCATCTCTCCAGTTTCCTTAAAGTACCCGTATGTGCACGACATCTCAAATCCTATCACCTTTGTCTCGTCGCTCTCTTTCAGAGTCCATCTTTCACATCCATAACAAACTCTACATGAATTGTTTTATCATTTTAATCTTCATTTTACTGCTAGTACCTTTCATATTCTAGTTCTTTGACAGCTCGCTTGTCACAATACTTCCCATAGCAATTATCTTATTTATTTCTCTCATGCAGTCTGCATTTAGCGCATCTTAAAACACTCAACACTTTCAAGTAAATCTCCCTCTAGACTTATACTTCTAGCCATTTATTTTATAATTTGGTTTTTTTTTCTTGTTGATCGTCAAACCAAGCTTCAGACTCTTCCCTTATCACTTCGCCGATTTTTTTCCGACTATCTCTGTTCTCTGCCAGGAATACAGTATCATTCACATAACGAAAATTCCATATCTTTCTTCTACCAATGGTGACAACTTTTCTATTATTCACCCACGCCATTCTGATGTTTTATTCTCTCGAGAAAATTAGTCGCCAGCCGTCGTTTATAAAATCTTCATCTTTTTATTTCATTTCATTTCTGTAATTCCAACTGATTACATTCTTTTAACCTATTCCAACTAACCACATCGAACGCACATTTCACGTCCCCAAATTTAATGTTCTACGCTTGCGACTTCCAATTTTACCAGCTGAATCAGATGTGCACCTTCCCAGGGACTTTGAATACATCGTCATATCCTATTGCTTAGATTAGCCTTGGCCGTGTTCCTCCTTCCAACACCTTTATTAAATCTGATTGTTATAAAGCGAACAACCGAGATACACGTATCTTGGTGTTTATTAATTGCTTATTTCAAAATATTTTGCTGTTTTTAGCAGCTGCCACACTGCTATTCAGTCACGATGATATCCCTCACACAGGCTGTCGCGCCACTGGTTAACCTGCACCATCTAGGTTTTGTTTCTCATCTCTATAACAAAAACATCCACGTGAAAACGTCGTACCCTTGCCATCATTGGAACTTTTTCCGCCACATCTACTGAGGCAATTGATGTTTTGACTGTAACCCCGACCCTTACCTGGTTAATTAGGGTAAATTAAATTAGACAAGTGTAGTAAGTTGTATAATTTAGAAAAGTAATTAGAAAAGGACAAATTCATCGTTTATAATAAGCTGTTTCGCCCATTAAATTAATCAGAGTAGGATTACATTGATAATCTATAGCATGCGGTTTCATCCAATAGACTAATTATGGTAGGGTTAATTGATATTTCGTCCAATAGCTTAATTAAGACAGGGTTAAACGGGTTATCTATAGTGAACTGTTTCTTTGAATAGATTAATTATAAGAGGGCTAAATTAGATATCTATAGTAAGCTGTTTCGCTCAATATATTGATTAGAGCAGGATTAATTGGTTATCTGCAGTAAGCTGTTTCGTTCAGTAAATTAATTAGGACCGGGTTATCTTTATAAGCTGTTTTGTTCAATATGTTAATTGGAGAGAGTTAAATTGCTAATTTTGTTATTAAATTGTTTCGTCCAATAGATTTATTATGGCAAGGTAAATTGATATTTTGTCCAATAGATTAATTAGGGCAGAGTTAATTGGTATTTCTTTCAATAGATTAACTATGACAGGATTGAATTGGTTATCTGCAGTAAGCTGTTTCATTCAAAAGATTAACTATTACATGGTTATAGTAAGCTGTTTCGTTGAACAGAGTAATTATGGCAGGGTTAATTGTTTTTTAGTTTTAGTAAGCTGCTTCATTCAATAGATTAATTAGAGCAAGTTAAATTAAGCATGTACAGTAAGCTGCTTCGTTTTTAGATTAACAATTGGAAAAAAAATTAAACAAAATTGCAAGTGCAAGATTGGGTGCACCAGAAAGTAAGGAAACAAGGTAGGAATGGCCATGGTGTAATAAAATTTCATCTCTACAACCTCATAAGGGGGCGT